GCTTCTCTGTCCCTGGGATTCTCCAGACAAGAATACGGGAGTGGGTTGCCACATCCTCCTCCAGGGGATCTTCCTGACCCAGGGATCAAACCATGTCTCTTGCATCTTCTGCATTGGTAGGCAGGTTCTTTACCATTAGCGCCACCTAGGATGCTACTTTCCATAGCCCCTGCATGTTCCTATTAAAATATCTTTCCTACTGGAGGAATCAACCTGCCTGACTTGAGGCTATACTACAAAGCAACAGTCATCAAGACAGTATGGTGCTGGCACAAAGACAGAAACATAGATCAATGGAACAAAATAGAAAGCCCAGAGATAAATCCACACACCTATGGATACCTTATCTTTGACAAAGGAGGCAAGAATATACAATGGAGAAAAGAAAATTTCTTTAACAAGTGGTGCTGGGAAAACTGGTCAACCACTTGTAAAAGAATGAAACTAGAACACTTTCTAACACCATACACAAAAATAAACTCAAAATGGATTAAAGATCTAAGTGTAAGAGCAGAAATTATAAAACTCCCAGAGGAAAACATAGGCAAAACACTCTCTGATGTAAATCATAGCAGGATCCTCTATGACCCACCTCCCACAGTAATGGAAATAAAAGAAAAAATAAACAAATGGGACCTAATTAAACTTAAAAGAGCTTTTACACAATGAGTGAAACTATGAGCAAGGTGAAAAGACAGCCTTCAGAATGGGAGAAAATAATAGCAAATGAAGCAACTGACTAAGAATTAATCTCAAAAATATATAAGCAACTCCTGCAGCTCAATTCCAGAAAAATAAGTGACCCAATCAAAAAATGGGCCAAAGAACTAGACAGACATTTCTCCAAAGAAGACATACAGATGGCTAACAAACACATGAAAACATGCTCAACATCACTCATTATCAGAGAAATGCAAATCAAAACCACAATGAGGTACTATCTCATGCCAGTCAGAATGGCTGCTATCCAAAAGTCTACAAGCAATAAATGCTGGCAAGGGTGTGGAGAAAAGGGAACCCTCTTACATTGTTGGTGGGAATGCAAACTAGTAGAGCCACTATGGAGAAGAGTGTAGAGATTCCTTAAAAAACTGGAAATAGAATTGCCATACGACCCAGCAGTCCTACTGCTGGGCATACACACTGAGGAAACCAGAATTGCAAGAGACACATGTACCCCAATGTTCATTGCAGCACTGTTTGTAATAGCCAGGACATGGAAGCAACCTAGATGTCCATCAGCAGATGAATGGATAAGAAAGTTGTGGTACATATACACAATGGAATATTACTCAGCCATTAAAAAGAATGCATTTGAATCAGTTCTAATGAGGTGGATGAAACTGGAGCCTATTATACAGAGCCAAGTAAGTCAGAAAGAAAAGCACCAATACAGTATATTAATGCATACATATGGAATTTAGAAAGATGGTAACGATGACCTTATATGCGAGACAGCAAAAGAGACACAAATGTAAAGAGCAGACTTTTGGACTCTGTGAGAGAAGGCGAGGGTGGGATGATTTGAGATAATAGCATTGAAACATGTATATTATCATATGTGAAATAGATCAGCAGTCCAGGTTCCATGCATGAGACAGGGTGCTCAGGGCTGGTGCACTGGGATGACCCTGAGGGATGGGATGGGGAGGGAGGTGGAAGGGAAGGTCAGGATGGGGAACACATGTGCACCCAAGGCTGATTCATGTGAATGTATGGCAAAAACCACCACAATATTGTAAAGTAATTAGCCTCCAATTAAAATAAATTAAAAAAATAGAAATAAAATATCCTTCCTTTCACTTCACTTTTCCAACTCCTCCCCTGTCCTAAACCTGTGATCTAACCCCCCCTCACCTACTCCAGGGCCCCGGGTCCGAACTTGCAGGGTTAGGGCCCCCTCCAGATGATCAATGATCTAAATGTAATGAGTGGCAGTTTCCCAACTTCAAGAGTACCCTATATTGGCCACACCAATAGTATGTTGCCCTCTTTGTTCTTAAGGCTCCGTCCAGCCCCCATTTGTTATCAGTGCATCTCCTAGAGGAAGTGCAGTTCTTCCCAGCCCTGTGAAGAGATACAAGGTATGCTGTCAGCTGTGGCCTGGGAGGATGGGGACCTGCATCTGGGGACCACCATGGAGCCTTAATTGGGGGACAAAGTCAGAAAAATGTCACCCACAAGGAATGAAGACAGTTGAAAGTGAAGGCACCATGGCTTCAGCCGGCCAGCTGCTGAAGTGACCATCTCCCTGCAAGAGCCAGCCTCCCTCCGGGGCATATGATGGGACAGCCTGGCCCAAGTCAGCCTGAGCCAGGTCCTGTCAGCTCTACAAGCTGCAGTCTATGACAGGATGGGTTCAGAGGATTTGCCCCATGAGTCTATTGCAGGAAGCAAAATCCTCAGACATGTCCTGTCCCAGCAGGGCCCCATCAACCCAACAACCCTCACATCAGGCCATCTGCACACAGGCATTCTATGTGGTCAGTTTTCAAGCCCTTTTAACAAGGGGCTGCTGGGTCCTTAGGATTTGGGGAGCAGCTTCTCAACTCCGCACCACAAGTGCCGACCACATGACAGGCTGGCCTAGCCATGGCCAGGAGGGTACGTGTACTCCAAGGTTGCCTGGTGGGCTTCTTGTAGGTGGTGTCCTTTGAGATTAACAGGACTTTTTTCTGGTTCAGTTGCAACTGAACTTGTTAAACCATATGCTCTCCGTGGACAAACAGCTCTTGGGACTGTAACAGCACTTCGCCCTGGAGGTACTCAGCAAACTTCTGATTTTAATTCAATCACAGATATCCTTCTGAGTCCTGGCTACTGTCTCCCAAGCAGATACCTCACTTCGTCCGTCCCTCTGCCTCACACAGACAACTCAGGTCAATTCTGGCTTGTGGTGGCTACTGGCAGGTTGCATGGCCACTCCCCCTGCCACCCTGTCGCTGCTTTCCCATTTTCTCAGAGCTGCTGCCGCCTCCACCCACACAGTCACCACTGGAAAGCCCGTCTCTGTGGGCAGAGCTGGGGGCACCCAGCAAACCCAGATGAGGGGCAGGTGACTCAGGCCCACGGCAGACTCAGAGCCCCAAGGGGCAGGCCTGGCACCAGTTTTCTCGGGAGCTGTAGGTGGTCCTGCCTGTCATTTGTCCCATCACGTGCAGCAAGAGGTGCTGTGGTCCCCCAAAGAGGGTCCAGAGTACATGGGCTCCCGAGGGCCAGCAGCAGCTCTCCTGAAATCCCAAGACAACCCTGGAATCCCAGAACAAAGCCCCTCACCCACTTGTTTCTTCCTGAGTCAGTTCCAGGTGGTGGATTTCCTTTACCTGTAGCTGAACAACTCCTGGTAAGGACAACCTCTACCTCACAGAGGCCAGGGTGAAACCCCCACAGTGCGGAGTCCACGAACCTGGGGCTTCCGGCCACCATGCGGAAGACAAGCTGCAACCTAACTAAACGATACTCATAGATCCAGGTGAAGACACTTGCCGTCTGGGCTCCCCAGGGACAGAAAGGAGTAATCCCTACATCCAGTCCCTCCCTCCCCTGGCCCGAAGTGGGTCTGTTTGCCTGACGACACCCTGGAGCTGGGGCTATGTGATTCTCCCACGACTTTGCTGTAGCATCATTTGTTAAGGCTCCAAGACCTTGCAATAAAACCACATGTAAAGCCATCTTACACGCTGACCAGTGCCCACATTTAAACATTGTACCTTGAAAAGAAACACAGGCTCCTCTGCCATGGAATGTTAACTCTTTTATTAATTTAGGGTTAACACCATGTCTGCCTTGTGAATTTCTTTTTCGGAGTTGTGGATTCAATCAACAACAGCTGGGTTCCCCCAGCTGATCGGTAGCTTGTCAAAGGTGTTACAGTCACAGAGGGGAGCAGGACGAAAATGGAAAACGAGCTTGAGAAAATTTAAGGCAAATGTTAATTCCCATATTAAAGGGACTTCATCAAGCAGATCTGTGCATATCAATGAAAATATATGAAATATTTGTCAAAATAATTAACATCGGTAAAAATTAGAACATGTAGCTTATCAAATGCCCACACAGGTTTGGCAGAAGTAAATCCAACCATGTCGATAGGCTCACAGCAAATACAGACACAGGCGAGCCCACCTTAAGACAAGTGTCCTGAAAAGCAGGGCCCATGGGCTTTCAGAGCAGCTCCACGGAAGGGAAGTGACTGACAACCAGCGATTCACGGACAGGCTTGCATCTTGGTAGTAAGAACTGCTTGCTTGTTGGGGCTACCTTCCATCAGGTAGAGGTGACCGTTCAGGCCATGAGACTCGCAGAGGTGTGGATGGGACGCGGTGACCCGGGGCCCTTGGCCCAGTCAGAGGAGAGGGCTGCAGATGAAGGAGAGTCTCTCCATCTTGCCCCACTGGGACGTGACTTTCTAAGCCATGGCTGTGGTTTCAGAAGTCACTGACCATGTAGAAACAGACGCTCCATCCCCAGTGGTCACAGGTTTTATGCTCCCAGATCTGTTCTCTTGAGTCTGACCAAACCGCCTCCCAGATGGTAGCCGGCAGAGAAGCAGGCGCGCCCCAGGCCCTTCCTCATGGGGCACAGCCAAGGCTCTGCGGGCAGCACGGAAGTACGGGGAGGAGGGTGCTGCTCAGGGCCACGTGGCCGGCCTTTCTGCTTTGGTCTTGGAGATTCAGTGAATGCATGGTCCCAGAAGCTGTGGATCCCCAGAGTTAATGCTGCTCCTGCTGTGACTTGGCCAGAATGCAGACAGCGAGGGGGTGTGAGCAGGTGTTGCTGCTCCCGGGACACTTCCTCCAGGCACCCCCTGCTCCCGCCTGGCCTGGGTGCCCGGAGTCACCAGGAAGGACCTTGCTCCTAGGACCTTCGTCTCCTAGGGAGACGAAGCTGTCAGATGAGGGCGCCATCCCTGAAACAGGCTCTGGCCGACAGCCTGGAGAAAGGTGGATGGACAGACGGAAGACGGGAGGGGCCCTGCCCTGTGCGGGGGCCGGGCACTTCTACCCGGCCAGGAGGCACGTGCGGCAGCAGAACTGGATGAAGAGCTTCCGTTCACAGAGCCGGTTGGACTTAACCATCTCGCAGAACGTCTCATCAGCTGGGTTCCCCCAAAGGAGAAAGGGGGGACAGGTCAGACGTGGGGGCCAGACATGGCTGCTCCCAGCTCCCCACTCCGGAAGGCAGCCGTCTGCCGTCACACCCACGGTGACAGGTGGCCAGCCCGGTGAGGGTGGGGCTGGAGCTGAGTCTGGAGACGAGGGTGGATGGGGGAGGATTCAGGTCGGGGTGAGGGTGGGAGTGGGCAGGATCTGGGGACACCAGGCTATGGGGGGAGCCCTCCGTGGTCACTGTTCCTTTTTCTGGATGTGGGAGGAAGAGGGGTCAGACCTGGTGGGGGCAGGGTGGGGGCTGCTGTGTGATGCTGGGGATGCCCCAGTGGGGGAGGAAGGATGACGAGAGAAAGGGGTTCATCAGGGCACCAGGAATGGCTGAGGGAGGGGAAGAGCCAAGCCACTGAGGCCAGCCCTTCCCCTGGCAGCTGGCCTCTGGGGACCTGCACTCGGGGGCTGGGACCTCACCCAAGGAGGTGGCTTCTTGAAGTAAGCGCTTCCTGGCCTAGAAGGAACACGATTCTTCAAGCCAAGGAAACCACAGAGCTCCAAGGCAAGGAGGCCAGCTCGTGGTCTGCAGGGCATGCCTGGGCTCTCTCTGGGGGCTTCACACTCTGCCAGGTCTGGGCCACTGCCAGCTCCATGCTTACCTCATGGTGCTGGCAGCTCCCCCTCTGACACTCCAGCAGGCTCTCAGCGCCCAGAGATAGCTTCAGGCTGCTCATCCCTATGCTTCCTGAGCCACAGTGGCTCCTCATCATGGTGCATCTACCCACGGCCTCTGCCCTGGTCTCCAGCCCAGAGTTCTGTGTCAACCCTTCCTCTTGCCTGGAACCCCCAACCTGGTCTCTGAGTTCCCGCTTTCACAACCTATCCTCACCTCCCAGTCGACCAAAGGCCCGGGGCTGTCCCACAGCACACACACAGATCCTTCCTGTGGAACACGCGGGCCTCTCCTAAAGCATGCCACCACACCCAAGCCACCTGGGGCTACTGGCGTGAGAGTGGGGACGACATCCGAATCTTTCCTAAGAGTCACTCGTTGGACTGACCCGCAGTAGCAGGGTGGCAGCTGGGATCCTCTGGTCAGTGTGAGGGGCCTGGAGGGAAGAGGCACCCCAGGGACAGCCTGTGGTCCCTGCCCCTCTCTCCCTTTCTCTTTGGCCGGGCAGCCGAAGGGCTTGGGTCCAACCCATGACCACTCACCATTGCTGCATGTGTGGTTGGTGATGCACGAGGTCCCCAGCTGTGTGAAGCCCACTTTACACCGGCTGCAGTTCCTGCTGGAGCCTTCACAGCTCAGGCAGCTCTCGTCACACCTGTGGGGACACGGGTTCCCGATGAGGAGGGGCCCCACCACTCCAGCCCTTCCCAGGGCCCTCCGGCCTGCCTGCCTGCCCTCCCGCACTGCCCCTGGCAGTAACCCTGCCCCCACGGTGGTCTCTCCTCCTGTCTGACCTCTGTCACCCGTGTGACAAACAGGACCCAGGAGCCGCTGGGGCGCTTGCCCATCAGGCTCAGCCTCCTCTGCGATGAGGTCGGCCTCACCTCTGGTGACAGGGCTGGGGGGCGGTTCTCTCTCAGTCCTGTCCTGGAGATGGGACCCAGGACTACTACCATCGGAGCACCGACCTTGAGGGTCAGCACACTCTGGCCTCGGGCCACACCAGCAGCTTTGCTGGGACCTGCCTTGTCCATCTGTGTCCAGCTGTGGCTGGGCTGCAGTGCTGGGGACAAGCAGCTGCTCCGGAGACGGGACGGCTGGCCCAACCTACAGGGCTCACTGTCAGGCCCCTCAGGAAAGCCAGCCAATGCCGACCTGCTCTGGGCTACGCATGGACCTCACCTGCCCGCTGCCTCTCCGATCTAGCTCCACTCCAGGCACAGGTCTCCCCAGACCTGCCTTGCTGCAGGCCCAGCAGGCCCAGCAGGCCCAGGAGTGGGCTCAGATAGGCAGGTAGGGCGGCGGGCAGGAGGCGGCTCAGCCAGGCCTGGGCCTGCCCACAGGGGCCACTTCCAGTCAGTCCATCCCCAAAGACCCCTGCAACTATGTCCTCCACCTCTGCAGGGCGGCACCCACTGCAGCCCCACCGCCCTCCCCTCACTGATGGGGCCACTGCCCGCCTGCATCTTCAGGCTGCTCTGGTGACACTCAGACGGCAGAGGGCTGCCCGAGTCCTGCCCCAACAGTGAACCCGGAGAGGCCGGGCTGGGGCGGGAGTGTGGTGGGAAGGCCGGGAAGGCGAGGCTGGCACCCCCTCAGGCAAGTACTCCTCGCCCCCTGAATTGCTCTGTCTTGAAAGAGGTTCTTACTCCTCTTCCAGGTCTTCTTCCTAAGTGTCGGGGTATCCAGACCTCTTCTGAAGTACTCGGCGTGGACTGTGCTCACTCTCAGCCCTGTGCCTCGGCTTCATGGGTCTCCTCAGTGCTAAGGCTCCAGCCCATCTGGCTGGGCCCTGCCCCCCGAGCCTGCCCATCCATCCTCTCGGGGAATGAGCCTGGCTGGCACCAGACTGAGGGCCTTGGGGAGCCAGGCTCCCTGGGAGCTGCTGCCCAAGTGGGTAGAGACCCTGAAGAGCTAGGGGACCAAGGCAGTCCATCCTCCCGGGAGAGCCACACAGAGGGGTCTTCAGAGCCAGGAGGTCAGGAGGAGGAGATTCTCTGCAATGCCAGAATCCACCACCTCAGTGCCCCATGCAGGCCTCTTCCTGGGATGCACCTCCAAGACATGCTGTGTCTGCCCCAGCGTTGGAACCCACTCCGGGTTGAAAGCCTCATCTCCCATGGGGGAGAGCACCCAGGGAGCTCCGGCCTCTGCAGCCCAGGAGGAGCTTTCCTGGGGCTGGGAGACCTCACAGTGTGGGAGCACCCTGCACCCCCAGGGGTCCAGGGTGTTTGACAAATGAGACTGTTATCACTACAGAACGTGTAGTCCCTCGGCTGCTGCCCTAGAAAGAGCTGGTGAGTTAAAATCAAGGTTGACTTCAGACGCTGGTGTCAAGGGGCCTGCACGGACTTGGCCAGGCTGGGTGAAGGCAGCTGGGCAGAAGGGCTGAAACCCCAGCCCTCCTGTGTGGGTCCTACAAATGCAAGGACCAGGTGGTGTCTCACTGGTAAGGACTGGGTGGTCTCTCATTGGCTTACAACAGAGTGGTTGGTGTTCCTGTTTTATGTTTGGTTGCTTGGTTTTCATTTTAAGAGGATAGGTTACAATCTGGAACAGTTCTCAAACATATCCTGGGGACCTCGAAGATCCCCTGTGGGTCCTTAGCTGTGAGCTGGAAGATGGGGTATGGTCTCTCCACACTGCTCTGATGTGGGCCCCGGGCTCCCTTCTTTCGAGTCTATTTCAGGCTCAACGTCAAGGTCTCCAAGATCACTTGCAGACTCCTCATGGTCACTCTCACCCTGGAAGAGGTGGGCTGCTCTGCCCTGCTCCTGGGCTTAGGTCATGAAGCCCGGCGTGAGGCAGCATGCAGCAGGACAGAAGGAGGACACCAAGCAAATGGCCTCTCGTCACTGCCCACAACCCATGATGATCAGAGTCCCCAGACAAGGAAGAGGCGCTGTGCAGATACAAAGAAGGAGCGGAAAAGGAGACTGGGAAGGCTTATGGCATCACTGCAGTGGCTGGAAATGGCTTTAGAATGAGGAGGCTGTCAGGACCTTCTCTTTTTCTCTAAGTTATCTAATTTAGAATGTAAGCAAACCCAACAGGTGGTTTCCTTAATGACACAGGGTGAGTACACTGTGGTCTATAGCGGTAGGTCTCAACAGATACTCAGAAAGTGAACCCCACCCCAGTCCCTGAGACAGGAGCCTCCAGACCTAGTCCCTCCTCCACGGGCACCATGCCCAGCCATCTGGGGCTGGGCTGGGAGGACTGCTTGGAGGGGGCACCAGACCTGGCCCCTTGACTGCGGGCACTGGCTATCTGGGGCTGGGCCGGGAGGACTGCCTGGAGGAGGCACCTACCTGCGGCACACCTTGTGGGGCAGGCCTGGCATGTCCTCTGCATAGAAGCCCTCACCACAGGCCGGCACGCATCTCCAGTCTTGGAAGTGGAAGCCTGGGGAACAGTGAATGCACTCCTCTCTGCTGGGCCCTGAGGGGCACAGGGAGAGAGCAGAGGTCAGGGACCACCCACTGTCCACTCTGTGTCACAGATCTGCAGCCTTGCCTGAGATCCAGGTCCTGTTCAGATGCCCCAAAAGGCTGCCCGCACAGCAAGACCACCCCCCGCAACTGGTGCCCACCACATGTCTGCACTGGCCCCCTCACCCACTCCTGGGAAGTGGGCCTTACACGCCAAGCTCAGTGCACTCCCTCAGCCCCAGCCATGTCCATCAACCTGATTCTCAGGGCCTTCTTTCCCAACAGGCCTGGTCCGGTTTGGGCTAGGGCAGCTGGGTGTAGCCTTGAACTCAAAATGGGGCCTGACCACACAAACTTACACGCTGGATTTCAGAGATGTAGTAAAAAAAAAAAAAAGTAAAATAGCTCACTGATCTTTAAATATCAATTACATGGAGAAATGGTAATATTTACATACATGGGATTAAACATGATTTCTACTGATTTCCACCTGCTTCTCAGGATAACTCACACCTGCATCCACAGCCCACATGGTGTTTCGAGGGGACCGAACGTGGTGTGAGACGACGTGGAGAATGGAAACAGGTGGTGTGGGGGCCTGGGGCTGACAGAGATGTGGTATGAAGGATGAGGACAATGTCAACAGAAAAAAGGGCACTAGGACTCATGGAGTGAGGTGTGGGGACAGAAGAGGCAAAGGCTCTGAACGAAGGATCAAGAGTCATGAAGGAAAACCTGCAGCTCAGTCAACAGGGCTTGTCAGTGTGGGGCAGGCGTGGCCCAGACTGATGAGATTGTGCCATCCATCTGTCTGCCCGCCTCCTCACCATTCACACCATCAGCAAGTGAGTGCCAGGCATCCACTCTGTGCCAAATCTCCCTGAAAACACCTCACAGGGTGTCAGAGGAGGCCAGGAGGCTGCAGGCTGACGGTGCAGAGGGTCAAGCGTGGGGAGAAGTCATCTTGGATGACTCCTCAACTGGACCTCCCCCCACTTTGACTGGGGTCTGGCCTTGGCTGGAGGCCTGGCAGCCTAGGCTGAGGTGTCCAGTCATCTTCAAGGAGTGACTTGTGGACCTTGTGGACTTGAGGGCCTCGAGCCTGTGTCAAGGGAGAACCCCTGCAGATGGCTCCGTGCTCCAACGGTTGGTCTTGTGTCTCAGAACCACAGCTGCCGGCCTGGAGGGAGTTCTGAGCATCTGGAGGGATGGGGATGAGGCAGAAGTTGGAGCCCGTGCATGACCGGCCTTCATGAAGGACAGGTGCCCACCGCCCGGGTCTGCACGGCGCTTTGTCACCCTGCAGCTGGGGTGTGGTGGGAGAGCCTCCCTGCAAGAGTACCTGGTCCATGTCCTTCTGGACTAACGGCTGCTCCTGTGCCCCCCTCCTTCCACCCCTGCTTATCTCCAGGAGGCATATGCGTTGGTGGCTCCCCACTGAACCCCACCCCCCATCCTACCACCTGGGCCACTCCCCAGCATCTGCAGTGGCTATTCCTACTTTAATGCTCAATTTACTAAACACAAAGCAGGTGAGATATGCTCAGCAGCGGCTGGAAGCCAAGAAAGCCCTGGATGGGTAGAGGCCCCACCAAGGTGTGCGCCTCAGCACGGTTAAGACGGTACCTTCTCCATTCTGGATCTTTTACCATGAGAACAAGAGCCAGAGACAGAGCTGGGTCTCCTGCACCCACAAAGGCAGATGGGCACCCCAGAGATCCCAGCCTCCTGACTCAGGCTCTGGGATGCGGACTGACCATCCTGGGGTCCCTGCCGCCTGGGGTGGGGACAGAAGCCCCCAAGCTCCTGTGTATTTGAACCTCCCCACACGGTGCCCAGGGCCCTCACAGGCGGGGCAGCAGGGGCTCCTGGTCGAGGGCAGAAGGGAAGGCCAGGTGGCGTGGGCCTCCAGGGGCTCTGGACAGGGACCCTGACCAGCAGTGAGGGGCCTTCTGAGACTCAGAGCTGGAGGCAGGGTCCCTCTACCCACATCAGCCGGGATGGGTGCACACATCCCAGAGTATAGAGGGCACCCGGGCAGGCGGGCGTGGGCGCAGGGCAGCCCTGGGACAGCCGGGCCCCTGAAGTGACAGGTGGCTGGGCTGGGTGAGAGAACCCATAAGCAACTATAAAGTCATCCACCAGCAGGCAGAGTGGGGGTGCCAAGAAAGGAAACTGTGTTGAATGAGCCAAAGTGCTATAAAGACACATGCCTGGCTGGGTGATGTGGACTCAACAGACTGTGACATTTGAATAAATGACGTCGGTGATGTTCCTTTATCAATCTGGGCTAAACAACAAGTCAGAGACATAGAACCAACGTTGACAGGCATCAAGGCAAACGAGAAGAGGGCTGACCGACAAGCCCTGGCCTTCTGGCAGTGGAGGGGGTGGGGGGCTGTCCCGGAGAGACCCCAGGGAGGCATGGCTCGCTCCAGAGGCCTTGAAGTTATGGCATTGGCTATGGCATGTCTACCCTGGGAGGCTACCCTGTCCTGCCGGGATCCACATTACATCCTTAGTGGAAAGTTCATCCTTACACCCTTTCTGCAGCAAAAGCTCTCCAAGCTGTGGGTTTCCTAGAACAAGGACCCCAGTGCTGGGTTGGGAAGGAGGGTCAGAGGAGAAGATTCAACCAGAAATGTATGTGGGCCACAAACTCCGATGTGTGGCATCATCTGCCGCACACAGCTCTCTAGCACGAGCCGACAAGACAATCACTCTCAGATTCGACACAGAATCTGTGCCTGGACGGTGGCTCTGACATCATCCCTGTGGGGACTACAGTACACACACACCCCTTACGGAAGCCTTTCCTCTGTGAGTGAGTGTTTAAGGTAAGACAGGCCCAGGAACTAAGGCTATGTCTTAAGAAGCCTTCTCCTTCCTTCACACTCAGAACTTACCCTGTCTCTCCCCGATGACTCTTGAATCTTTAGGACTTGAACCTCAGGCACTTGCCCTGGCAAGAGCTCGAGAGCAGTGAGCAGCCTGGCCTGGCCTGAAAGCAACCCCTGCCTGGCTGCACTCCTAACGTCGGGATGTGGGCCCTTGTGGTTTTTCTTTTTTTAATTTTTAAAAATTGTGGTCAAATGTACACAATGTAAAATTTACCATATTGACATTTGGCCAAATTGACATATTGGTCAATTTGCCGCCTGGGGTGGGGACAGATGCCCCCAAGCTGTGTATTTGCTGTGTATTTGATTCAAGGTTCAAATACACGGCAATTGACAAATTTGGTCAAATTGACATATTGACATATTGACCACTTAACATATAGTTCAGTGGCATTAGGGCTTCTTTACTGTCTGGTGGCTCAGACAGTAAAGAGTCTACCTGCCAATGCAGGAGATGCAGGAGGCATGGGTTTGATCCCTGGGTTGGGAAGATTCCCTGGAAAAGGGAATGACAATTCACTCTAGTATTCCTGCCTGCAGAACTCCATGGACGGAGGAGCCTGGTGGGCTACAGACCATAGCGTCACAAAGAGTCGGACACAACTGAGTGAGTAGCAACACATTATAGTACATCTGTGTCTTTCATATGTTGCCTTGGGCGTGCTCAGAAAAACTAGGGTAGAGTAAACCATAAAAAATATCTGGTCTGGCCCTATGGTCAGTGGACAGTCACTACCACCACCATCCATGCCCCAAACGTTTTCATCTTCCCAAACTGAACCTCTGTGCCTGTTGGTCACGCTCCCTCATCCCAGACTCAATGCTGCAACATTCACCCACAGAGCCCTAAGTGCCAGGGCTTTCTGGGTTTCAGGTCTTCCCCCCACCCGCCAGCCTGGAGAGCAGGTGTGAACTCACCCACGCAGGTCCGGCAGGTGTGATGGCACTCCCCACATCGGATGAGCTCAGAGTCGAAGTAGGTGCCTGGCTCACAGTCTGGAATGCAACTGCCCCGGGCAAGGCTGGTGAACAGGGGAAAAGTCAGGTTTTCACATCCTTTCCAAAACTCTGACTGCATTAGGATTTGCCCTCAACGTCTTTCCTGAGAGGAGATGAGAGGTGCTAGAACACAGGTGTTGGTGTCACTTCAGGTTCTGAGCACAGGAAAGTGGCTGGGAGGGATGCTCAGGCCTTATGGTGGCCTTGTGCCCGTGCAGGGGGTAGAATCCTGTGCACTCTGTGACACCAGCCACTATGGAATCTGAGGCCCGAGGGGGTGGGGAGGTCACCCTGCTGGCTCGGTCTCCCAGGACACAGCGCCTGTAATGTGGGAGAGGGGCTGGCAGCAACAATCACCTTGAAACTCGATGGGTTCCAGCCTTGCCCTTGCCTGAAACCTTCCGTGTTTCACAATGAACTTGAAATAAAATCTGCTCCTGGGACCTGGCAGGCCTGCAAGCTGTGAATCCCAGGCTCAGATGAGAACGGGGGTGACCTGCAACTCTGGGGTCCTGTTCTCTTCCCTCCCTGGCTCCCTGGAACACCTCTTCGCTCCAATCCCCTGATAGGGAAGTTATGAGAGGAAGCTCAGGGCTCAGGGAAGCTCAGCTGTGCTGCCGGGAAGATTGTTCCTCTCCCCGTTAGTAACTGCGATAAAGATTAAATTGTGAAAGCTGTTGGAATAAAATGCTCATTAAGCTTCCTTCCTTCACTCCTTGCTGCACAGGAACTCAACCCTGAGGGTGGGTTCCCCTCACAGCGGCATTCGGGTGGTGGAAAGTGGGCGGGGGGAGGTGGGCTGTGGGACCAGTAATCTTGTCCCCTGGCCTGTTGAGACATGCTGAGAGTCACAGAGTGGCTGGGTCAGCACCTGCATTTTAACAAGACCCCTTGCCCCGCCCTGTCCCCTCACTGCAGGGTGAGGCGGGAGGCGCTACCCTCAAGGACCATCTCTTGTTTCTTTCTTTCTTCAAGTGCAGACCCTGGTCTGAGACTGGGCTGCGGGAAGGCCTGCAGCACAATTCCTAACAGAACGACTTCTAAGCTTCTAGACAGTGACTTCAAGGAACAAGTGGTATGTAATTTGGTGGCATGAAATGGGCTAAACCAAAATATTCCCATAAAAACCTTTAATCCAGTAAGATGTTTTACAGGAAACAGTAAGATGTTTATAGGAGAGCTCCCTGGAAGGAGACACAAGGGCTGGGAGACAGAGAAGCCCGGGCTATGGGGCGGAGGAAGGAACTCGGAGTCCAGACCAGGAGGGAGACAGGTGAGAGGGGTTCGGGGCCTGAGAAAGGAGCTGGATTCCCACCCTCCAGCATCCAGCCCCACTTTCCATCAGCAGATCAACTTTGACTGATTCCCCAAATGCTGCCTCAGACTAGAGACCTTCCTCATCCTCTGACTTTCTATCCTAAACAAGCTCTAAGTGCAGATCTGATTTTGACTTGGAATCTTTATCCTGAAAGGCTCTGGGCCTCTGAAATTTTAGCTTTTAGGAAAAAATGTAAATCGACAACAGACACTAAAACCAGCGTACGCTACGGCCACACCCAACAGAAGGGTCTTACCTGAATCCTTCTTTACAGACAGTACACTTCTCTGGCTCATCAATGCACTTTTTACAGCTTGGGTGGCATTTAATGCAGTTTTTCTGACCTGGAGAAAAGTGAGAGGAGGAAAAGAGAAGGGTGAGAAGACTGGATGTAGGTCAAGCTCGGGCCAACAGGACTGAAGAGTTTCAAGAGGTGCTGACTGATGGAACAGCAGTCACGGGCAACGTGTTGACAGAACTGCCAGAGCCACGTGGGAACCACATGCCCAGGGGTCGGGTCACAGGCCTTGCACCCCTTTTCTGGAGTAAACTTAAGTCAGGTTACCTTAAGGCCTGGAGGGGACCCTTAGCTCTTTCCTCGGGGACTGGAGGCAGCCAAGCAATTTTCCGAGGGGCCGGTCTTCCTGAGTGAGACGAGTGGGGCCACAGGAGCCCCTGAGCCCCCCAACCCCACACAGGGTCTTCACAGGGGTCAGACACAAAGCTCAACACCGGCCACACCTCGAAGGGGAAGCCCCTGGTCCTGGCGATTGTCCAGGTCACTCATCCTGGCACCTTGGCCACTACACCTTGTGGCGTCCTCCCCAGGGCCTGCAGGCAGCATCATATATGCTGCAGGGGCTCAGAGAGCACGTCTGGGGGGACGAGGCATCGGAGTGGGGTGGGGAGTGGGGATGGAGGCGTATACGACCCGACCACTGGACAGGAGTCTGCAAAGCTTGTGAAGCCTGTCACGCCTGACTGCAGCTCCTCTGAAGAGGGTAGTCATTCTACAGCTGTAAACATCCGTAAAGACTGCCTGGCTCCTCCCCACAGCGGTGACAGTGGGGCGTGACGGGGCCTCCTAAAGGCCCGGGCCAGACACGAGCTCCGGGAAGGCCTGCCATCTGCACCACAGCCAACACGCCATCTGAGAGCTGTCTCCATCGATTTAACCCAGACCCTCTCTGCACTCTCCTCCAGGGTGTGGGGGGTGGATGGTGAGCCGCTGGCCCTGGGGCTGTCCACCCTGCTTCCTGGGACAGGCAGGGCGGCAGGACGCTGGTGTTGCTCTGAGCGTACGCCCTCCTGGGTCATCGCAGCTGGGCCCTCTTGCCTCGCTCAGCTTCCTCCCCTCAGCAGGGTGAAGGCAAGGTCACCTAGCTCCACGGGAGCCGGGTCACTGTGAGGTGCATGGCCCAACCCCGCCCCCCTCCCCGCCCCCCGCCCTCTTCCTGAGCCCAGTCACACCCAACAGCAGGTTCTCTTCATTCACGGAGGCCCAAAACCTCCCCACCTGCAACCATAACTTCAGCCCAGCAGCTAAACCACCAAAGCTGCGAGCCGCTGACGGGGTGGGGGTGGGGGTGGGGGCTGGGGTGGGTCTGTGCTCCCCACCCCCCCAGCCCCCACACTCACACCTGCTGCTCCAGGACAAGTGGTGGGGTCCTTGGAGGCCTTCCCATCCGGGTGTCTGAAATCAGTGAGCCTGAAGGCCCCCAGCTCAAGTCACCTCTTGTCCACCCTCCACAGTGGACACTGACCCGCACACGCATGACAGCCCCAGCTCCGGCTCCATCTCTCTGTCACGCTGAGCCATCCTGGCCAGGCTCCCTGTGAACTGCTGTCTACTACCAGGGTCTGAGGGCTGTGACTTCCCCCTTCCTCCCCACTCCCTCCTGTGAAGGGTCCTTGCACACAGGAAGCAGAGGGCCAGGGCAATTCTCCTAGGACAGGGGAATGGACCTGAGGGGACAGTTCTCCCAGAAGAGGAGAGCCAGCCCTGAGGGGACAGTTCTCTCAGGAGAAGGGAGCCAAGAGGACAGTTCTCCCAGGAGAGGGGACCTGGCCCCGAGGGGACAGTTCTCTCAGGAGAGGGGAGCCAGCCCTGAGGGGACAGTTCTCCCAGGAGAGGGGAGCCAGCCCTGAGGGGACAGTTCTCAGGAGAGGGGACCTGGCCCCGAGGGGACAGTTCTCTCAGGAGAGAGGAGCCAGCCCCAAGCGGATAGCTCTCCCAGGAGGGGACCCCAGCCCCAAGTGGGCAGTTCTCACAGGAGAGGGGACCCCAGGGAACAGTTTTCTCAGGACAGGGAACCCCAGCCCCGAAGGGACAGCTTTCCCAGGAGGGGACCCCAGCCCCGAGTGGACAGTTCTCTCAGGAGAGGGGACCCTGCCCCGAAGGGACTGACTCCTATCCCAGGCCCAGGAACAGACATGCACTTACTTTCGTCGGCATAAAATCCGGCGGGACAGAGGGTCACACAGGAGTTCACATCCTGATGGTGGTAGAAGCCGCGGCGGCAGGTCAGGCACTGCGTGGAGCCCCGGCCAGAGCAAGTCTCGCATCCCTTGTGGCACCGGCGGCAGCGGCGGGCTACAGTGTCCCCAAAGTAGCCCAGGGGGCACGCACTCACGCACTTCCTGCGGGGGCAGACACGGGAGAAGACCGTACTGCTGGGCCCAGTCCCCACATACACAGGGGCACAGGGAGGGGTCGGGCCAGGGCGGGCAAGGGGACCCCTCAGCTGCCCCTGGAGGTTCCTGATGCAGGAGAGTGGGGAGGGCTTGCATGGGAAGCCCAGAGCCCTTCCCTCTCAAGGCTTCCCCAAGGGGTGGGGACACTTGAAGGGCATGTGGCTCCCTTGGGCAGGACTCCCAGTGCCAGCAGAAGCCCGCTGAGAGGCAGCAAGTGGGTCTCCAGGTCACCATGAGGGCTGAGCAGCTCCCCGCCAGAGCCCTGGCTGCTGAGTGCACCCCAGGGGAGCTGCACCCCTGCCTGGGCACGCAGGGGTGGGGACTCCTCGTTATTGGCAGACTGTGCTGATGTTTACAGCAGTACTGGCCCCAGAGATGATGTTTCTCTGTAGTTTCCAAGCAACTGCCATGCTCAGTACGACCCACTTTTGTTTAACACAATGGAGAGAAAAAGCTAATGAATATAGCACAATGCCACCCACAGCCTCTGAGTTCTGTCTCAGTCACGATCTATTCACATGATGAGAACAGAAGGCTGCGAAGCATAAACTTTTCAAGCAGTGACCCTGCAGGTGACCTCCCTTCAGGGTGTGTGGCTGTGACCCTCAAAGTGACTTTCCCCCAAGGTGTATGGCTGTGACCCTATATGTGACCTTTCCCTTCCGGGTGGTGTCACTAATCCCTATCTAGGAGCCGGGATACAAAGCTGCAGCCCAGCCCTTTACCTGCTGGTCTTGACACTCCCCAGGCTGAAGTGGACGCAGTTCAGGCACTGGTCTGCACCGGGGCCATCACAGCCTTTGTCCCCACACTCCGGATGGCACACACCTTAAAGAAACAACCGTTTCCTTTCACCCACAGAGATGCTGTCTCAGTCATGTCGAGTCCCCGAAAAACCCATGCCTGGGTCCCACAGGCCCCTAATGGGCCAACACACCCATCCTGTAGGGACCCGCCTTGGCTGAGAACAGAGGGTTTGATGACTGGAGATGGGGGCTGTCTGAGGACAAGCAGGAGAGCGGCAGGCAGGGACTCGGGACTGTGACATTCTAGCATCCTTCCTGCGGCAAGGTCACGATGCTGGGCTGGCCACCACCCCCATCTCCACCGTGAAGGACAGTGCAGGGCCACATGGGCACCAGTCACCAACCCCATCTCCACCATGAAGGGCAGTGCCGAGTCACATGGGGACCAGTCACCGTCCCCATCTCCACCATGAAGGGCAGTGCAGTCACAAGGGGACTGACCATCAACCCCATCTCCATCATGAAGGGCAGTGCAGAGTCATGTGGGACAGCTGTGATCAGGCAGCTACTTTCTGATGAGGAATGAAGGAGAGAAGCAGGGTGCACCATGCTACCACCCCCAGCAATGATGAAGCCAGGCAGGTCTCCATGGCCCCAGTGGGTCTGGGCTGAGCCCTGCTTGGCTCCCCCATCTTGCCCTCAGAGGTGGCCTCCCCACCTTTTCTCCATTCCCAAATTCTCACTCTGGCAGCCTGTGTGTTGCTGGAACTGGGGGAACTCTGCAGGGCCCGTCCTGGTCTCCCCTCCACCTGTGCTTCGGGGAAGAGACCAGCTCTTCGGTTCTGGCCCTCAGGCTGGGGGGGGGGGTCCCTCCACAGGTGTCCTCCTCACCTGTCCACTGTGCTGAGCTATGGTGGAACCCCCTCCCATCCCCTCCCCACCTCCCCCAGTGCCTCTACTGGGAAGTGGCTCCAGAAAGCCTCCCCATGTGGGGAGGGCATTTGAAGGCTTTTGAGCCCCTGAAAGAGAAAACAACCACCTTCTACAAGGTTTCAGTTGTCGGAGAGGGTGGGGAGTGAGTTCAGAGGCAAAGAGGAGGTGACTAGCCAGTCATCAGCATTTCACGGCCAGAAGGGAAAGACACGAGGGCTCACTCTGCGGCCACAACGGGTCTTTGCTGAGGGCACAAATTCCCCTTCATTCCTCTCTAAAGGGCCTCCAGACCTTCCTAGTGTTAGACTCGCTGTATTTGGCTTTCCTCCCCCAAGGTTTACCGTTGTTGGCATTTCCAAAGTTTTCACTGTGGGTCCCACGGGAACCCCTTTCAAAGCTGCACTCAACCCTGGGGATGAGCTAGATGGCTCCTCAGGGTCTGAGGGCATGAGGCTCCCCTATCCCTCCCTCAGCTACAGGAAGCTGTGGGATTTGGGCATCAATTCACATTTGAGCTGACTCATGTCTGCTCATCCTTTTGTGGCATCCAGCCCTCCCCGCAGCGGCCTGACAACCTGTGCCTGGGGTCACCTCTCCCCAAGGCAGGTGAATCTCCTGTGAGAAGTTGAGAATAACTTTCTTAACCCTAAGGAGAAGTGTAGGGATGGGAGGAGATAGCCCACACTCCCCACTCTTTCCCAGCCTGGGAGATGGAGCTCCATAGGGCAGGACCTGGTCGAGTAACCATGTTGGATGCCAACTTTCTGGCACCTGAAAGGCGTTAGGATGGCTCAGAGAAGGTGCTCAGTAAATACCTGCTGAATGGCTGAGGGTGAGAGAAGGGATGAAAGAGAAAGGCACTAGGATACTGGGGCAGCCCGGTGCCCTCCTGTCCACACACAGAATGTCCTCAGATGTCCCAGGATGGGGAAGACTTGGGGGAGGCCTGGTGCACTCAGTCCCCTCTCCCTGGGGCCTCTCTGCAGGTGACAGATTAGTCAGGGACCCAGAGGGGAGCCCCATGCTAGGTGGGGGTTGCAGAACCCTGATAGGGTGTCCAAGGATGGCAAGTTCAGCCCTGCACCGGGGTGGGGCGTGGATAGCCTTGTTCCAGGGAGCACGGTGAGACCCTCCCAAGCAGGGTCCTCTGGTCCGCATCTGTGAGCCCCCTCCCTGGTGCAGCTCTCTTCTTGGATCACCCTGAATAGCCCAACAGGAGGGTCATCCCTGCCAGGAATCATTCTTGAACTCTGTCTGCCAGCTGCACTGCCTGGTCCCACCCCCACTGCTCCTCAGAAGCACCTGGGTTCCCTTGGGCTCAGCTGTACCCATCTTCTGAGTGGGTGTGCTTATGCCCCTTTCCCTCTTCCCTCCAGGAGCCTGAACGTTCCTCAGAGACCCCTGGCTTTCTGTCTCACCTCCCGGGGCTTCAGCCACGGGGCAGCACAACACTCTCCCCACAGCTTTGCAGCCAGCAAGATGGCGGCCACCCCCTGAGAAAATGGAGCATTTCCTGCACCATCAGTAAACAAGGAGGTCGCAGTCATCAATGACTCCAGTCCTCCAGGGCACCCAGGAAGGAGGAGAACACCTGGGCCATCTGGCAGCCACAGGGCTGCAGCCACTCCCTATGGGGAGCCCTGAGGAACTCAGAATGTGACTGCACAGGACACAGACCCCAGACAGCTGAGGTGCACATGGAAGGAGTGATTTCAGCGAGCCAGATTCCTGTGTCGTTCCACACACAAAAGGCAGATGCAAGAGTCTGGGCTCACCTGGTGGTTCACACAGTAAAGAATCTGCCTGCAACGTAGGAGACACAGGAGACCTGGGTTCAATCCCTGGGTCGGGAAGATCCCCTGAAGAAGAGAATGGCAACCTTCTCCAGTATTCTTGCCTAGAGAATCCCAGGGACAGAGGAGCCTGGTGGGGCTACAGTCCATAGGGTTGCAAAGAGTCGGACACGACTGAGCAACTAATGCTTTCACATTCATTTTCATTCATACACAGAAAAGTGCTAACTTCCTTGACTTGGGATATCTGGTTTTCTTTAATTCACAAAAATATTTTTGATGTTAAGACTACCTGCCCTTAGTAGACAGGGCAGACTACCTTATATATATATATAAGGTACTTATATAGAAGACTACCTTCTATATAACCTGGCTCCTACTCCTCTCACCTCCTCAGAGCAGTTATCTCAGGGTCACTTGTGATGCTGCCTCCCAGGCTTAAGTCCTAAAAGTTTCCCTCAAATAAAACATAACTCTCAGCTTCTTGGTTGAGATTATTTTTTAAGTCGACACCCCTCTGAAGGTGCTGGACTGACACTGGCTTATTTAAAAACTCTTTCTTGACTCCTGTGTGGAGTGGATCCAGGATGAAAAACATATGTGAGCAAACATTAGAAAGCAGCTAGGGCTTCTTGATGGCTCTGTCCTTACGGGCTTAGGCCTGAAGGATCAGGTGGATTCAGTGAGTCTCACAGTCCTTGCCATTCTTACCACCCAGAAGCCTAGCCTGGCTTGAGGTAAGTGCCAGGGGAGCTGTCTGCAGCGACCCTTACTGCCCATGGGTGGCTAGACCCCCTCTCTGTCCCCCTACTTACCGCCTCCCCTTTATTTACTTCTTGGCTCCAGGAGGGCTGGCCCTGCACCTGTCCACCCCGCATCACAGCACTGCCTGGTGCCCCTGCTGCCAGAGCCAGGAATGAACAGGGCCCAGTGCCCCCACGCACCATCGGCGTGACCAGCTTGGCATCTGAGAAGGCTCCGCAGTTCTAGGCCACCTCTCAAGCTCACCCCTCAGCTGTGGACTCCACAAAGCCCACAGTCACAGTTGCACCTCACAGTCTTCCCCACTTGGTCCCTCTCCTTCTCCCTCAGCTTCTGTACCCGGGCTTGTCTGTGACAGAGGGGATCCCCAGGCACCAAAGAGATGGTCCCCCCTCCCCCAAGTCCTCTCCCCTCCTTCCATGCCCTTCCTCCTGCCCTGGCCCATTTCCTGTTCTTCTGCTGTTATTGGTGTGCCCACCTTACTTGCCCAAGACCCCAGGGAACCTCCCTGAGGGTCAGGAACACACCTCAGCCCCACAGAGACCCCCCCTAATCCCTGTGGTTGGGCTCCTGAGTGGCCTGGGCTGCATAAGAGTTAGAGTGACATTCCAAGACAGTGTGAAGTTAGAGCCATAGCAGATTTTAGGGGGGAGGGAATCAGTCCTTTATTAATAATTACTGAATCTTGCCACTGTTTATAAATCACAGGGGGAAACAGCAGATTAGTCCATACATAATTCAATGCTCCATTTCAAAGGCACGGTAGGAGAAATTTAAAATTGAATCACCCATAATTTATGCTTGATCTGCATTGGTGGAATTCTCCATTTTGTTATTTTTTTTTCTAGAAGCTATTAGATAACTCAAAGCATCAATATTCTTAGATCTCACCCATCATTTATCAAGCAGGTGAAATATTTAGCCAAGGAAAATATGCCTAACCAGAAATGTTCCACATTTCACAATCACTAGGGTGGTTCTGAGGGAAAGGAAAGCTTTCGGCCAGGTATGCCCACAAGACCATGCCCAGCCCGGTGCTGGGAACGTCCATGGCTGCTCCTTGGCATGGAGCACTGCAGGCTGAGCCAGGTCTGCCTGTGGGAGTGCTGCAGGAAGACCACTGGCAAGGAGGCACCCCTGCTGCTTGTGAGTGTTCCCCTGACATCAGTCCTTGACCCTGTCCCGAGTCCTCCTCCAGTCCCCCCACCCCATCCCCTGGTCCTCCGCCGTCTCCACACCAGCCACTCCTGGCCACGCCCACACGTCCTGGCTCCTGTCAGTGCCCTGGGCCTTCCTACATCCCAGCCACGAGGACGAAGAGCAGACAGATCAGGGAGAGGGTCTGGAGGCTGAGCCGGGAGCCGGGGGTCCCCCAAAGGAAAGGGGGTGCCCCAGAGGAGTGCCACTAGCCAGGGGCAGGTCCACGTTCTGGTGGGGCACAGGGAACCTGTATTCCCATCCTAGGAAGGCTGTAGAGTACTTACTGGTTTGCAGCATACTTACTGATCTGTAAAAGACTAGGAGAGCCAAGGGAGGAAGGAGCTGTGAGTGCAAACGACCACCATTACTAGGACTCCCGAGCAGGAGGAGGCCGGCAGCCCTAACCTGCCTGCCTCGGGGAGTGGACAAGCAGGTGTGTCCTCCGGCCGCAGGCTCAGTACCTGTGTAGTCCTCTTCTTCCTCCGGAACCTCGGCCTGGGATGGTGACACGGCGGTCCTTGGGGGCTCCAGCTCTGAGGCGGAGAGGTCCAGCATCCGAGAGCGGGACTGGTGGGCGCTGAAGGTGGTGTAGGGGTGCTCAGCGGTGCCATACAAGATGAGGGTCCACTCCCTCAGCTTCCCTGGAAGGCACCAGATCCAGACTCACCCAGAGTCCAGACAGCCCTCGGGAGGCCCAAGACGTGCTCCGGCCAGGGGCCTCCGTCCCCCAGAAGTGCCTGGCGCTGCCGGCTCAGGTCCCCAGCCCTCCTCCAACAGTAGGGCTCCCAGCCCAGTGCCATTCCCCCCCTCATCACCCCCTGCCCAGCCACCTCTCCCTCCTTGGGTGGTGGTGCAGTGCACCCCCCCCAAATGACTCCCACCCCTACAATGGGTAGCTCCCTCCCTGTCTGGGAAAATCCAGGGGATGGATCGGGGCCAGGCAGGCCCTCAGCCTCATCCCATGTGTTCTGACGTGCTAGCTGGGGTCTCAACCCTGGGTCACAGGATGGCGGGTCTTGGAAACAGAAAGATGACTGGTACCCTCGCTGGTCTGCATGTGTAGGGAGCGGGACAGGAAGCAGCAGGGACCACCCTGCCGCCTCTATGAGGGAACGAGGCCTGGACAGCTGGATATGCTCAGGTGTGAGGAGAAGGGGAACCTGGCCTGCACTGTGCAGGTGGGATACAGCCCACAAGGGTGGGGGTAGACACAACTGCAGGCCACCTCCCTCTCTCAACACATGTGGCCAGCGTTCGGGGCCATGGGACTGTGTCAGGAGAGTCACTGATGTCATCATCGTGCAGGTGAGGGGCCGAGGGCCAGTGTGACCTGCCGGGGGACAAGCCTCAGCTCGCGCTAATGGGCTCCGGTCGCCCCAGCTGCACAGGGTTTATTGAGAAGAGGACTGACTCCACAGGAATTGGTTCTGTCACGCAGCGGGGGACAGATCAGCACTGGTTTCTTTTATCCAGCATCCTGGCCAGATAAGGTCCCAGCCCCTGAGAGCTGCAGCCACCAAAGCCCCCAAGTCAGGCTCAGGCCCTCCCAGCCTGACCAGGATTAAAGCAGGTAAGGGACCCATCCTGGGCTGACTGTCCTCTGGGACATGTCTCCAGAGGGTGTGGCTCTTTCTGTGGCCAAGTCCCCAACACAGCAAGTGACACTGACAGGGAAATGCTTCATGTGGGCCCAGGTGCAGCAAACACAGCTGGGCTAGGAAGCACCATCCATTTTTAAGCCCCAGGGATCAAATGACAGCTACACCTCACAACCAAAAAGCTCTGGCTTGTGAGGTGCTGAGTGAGGAACACAGAATAGTGACTGCATAGGCGAGCATAGTGACCACAGGCAGCAATGAAGGGCTCTGTGAGCTGTAATCAGAGCTGAGATTTATTTCAACTTTGTGTCATGTCTCTAGAAACCCCACCAAAGGCCTTGTCACTAAAGTTAGATGCTTATTTTAGGCAGAGGTTTGGTGGGACAGACAAGAGAAGGGAGGCTGCTCCAAGCTTGGGATCAGCACAGCCTGTGTGTGAGCGGGGAGAGCAGAACCGATACCAAAAAACCGTAGGAATGGCTCCTAAGAGTTCTCGTTATGAGGAGAAAGCAGCTTCTTTCCTTCCTTGTGTGTCTGTAGGACATGATGGGTGTTAGGGAGACTCACTGCAGCAGTCACTTCTCACTCTGTGTAAGTCACTGTGCTGTAACCTTATGCTTCTCAGGGCCACATGCCAATTATATCTCGATAAAGCTGACGAGAAAAATAATTCCAAGAAACCGGCAGGAGGATCTGTCTTGCAGGGAGGCCTGGAAGGGAGGCCGAGAGGGGAGGCCGGGAGGAGAGGCTGGGGTTCAGGAATGGAAGAGAGACTTCATTTTTATTGTTTTCTCTTGTGGATGGTTTGATTTAAAAAAAAAAAAAAAACCATGGCATATATTACCTTTCACATAGACAAATATTAAATAATTACGTTTAGTTTAAAAATCTATAAACAGGGACCTCCCTGGTAGTCTAGTGGCTAGGATTCCACATTCTCTGCTCCCCCTGAAGGGGGCCCAGGTTTGATCCCTGGTCAGGGAACTAGATCCTACATGCCACAACTAAAGATCCCGTGTGCCGCAACTAAGGCCAGGTGCAGCCAAATAAACAATTTTTTTTTTAACGAGATCAAACCAGTTAATCCTAAAGGAAATCAACTCTGAATATTCATTGGAAGGACTGATGCTGAAGCTGAAGCTCCAATACTCTGGCCACCTGACATGAAGAGCCAACTCACTGGAAAAGACCTTGATGCTGGGAAAGATTGAAGGCAGGAGGAGAAGGGGATGACAGAGGATGAGATGGTTGGATGGCATCACCGACTCAATGAACATGAGTTTGAGCAAGCTCCAGGAGATGATGAAGGACGAGGAAGCCTGGCACGCTGCAGTCCACGGGGTCAAAAAGAGTCGAACATGACTTAGTGACTGAACAACAACAAATAAACAAACTGGTTATACAGTCGGGGAAGCAAACATGAAAAAGCTGAGGCTCAGGGTTTTTGATTTACATTTCTGAAACAAATGTGAAGACTTAAAATCTACAAGTACAGACGGAGCAGAGTGGAAGTCCCCCCAACCTGCCTGTCCCAGCCACCATCTCTGTCCACGGCTACTTGGCTACCTGTTTCTTGACCATCCTTCTGGAGGTGTTTTATTCTTATCCAAGCAAACATGAACACATATTCTGCCCTGTCCCTTTTATCAACACACCTGGCAGCACATTCTGCAGTTGGGATTTTCCATTAAAACACATCCTGCTGATCTTTCCATCACTGCCTCAGAGAGATGTGGTGTCACTTACTAACAAAGCCTTTGACAGGCATCAAAGTTATTTTCAAATGTCTGCAGTCACAGGCAGCCTATATCCTGGGTCACATGAGGAGGCGCCAGGTGAAGCTGGCAGAGCAAGGATCCAGCTCTGAATCCTGACTTGGCCACCTGCTAGCTGTAAGGCCTCAGGCAAAGTACTCACTCTCCCTGTTCTTCAGTGTCCTCATCTGTGAAGTGGGATCACATTAACAACACGTACTTCACTGATTGGCCCGGGGAATGAAATGACTTTAACAATGGTAGAGATTCAGAAAAGTGACTCATGTGGAAATGCAACTCTGGGCTCTCAGCTGCAGGGTGATCCCTGCCCCCCCCGCTGACTCCACACCTATCCACAACCCTGAGGATGTAGCCCATAGCCCGTGCCAGCTCCCAGCACTCTCACCATGCCCAAAGTCCACCCTCGCTGTGAGGAGAGGAGACACAGAGGGAAGAACAAAGGAGGAACCAGAAGACCCACCATCCAGGGTTAGAGCAGAGACCTAGCCCACACTCCATAGGACTCCATCCAGGTTTAGAGCAGAGACCCAGTCCACACTCCACAGGACTCCACCCAGGGCAACAGAGACCCATTCCATACTCCAGAGGACTCCATCCAGGGTTAGACCAGCGACCCAGCCAGCCGACACTCAACAGGACCTTCATCCAGGGCAGTAGGACCTTTTAACAAGAGCGTACTGCTTACTGGTCAAATCTGCACAAGGTACCCTTACAAAAACCCAACCAGGACCATTCACTCCTTCGTTTCCATGAAAGGGTTCTTAAAAGATGCCCTGATTCCAATGCCTTGGCTGTCTCTCCACCAGATTCCTAAGCCCTTAGAAGAAGGAAGGGCACATTTGCCTGCTCAAATGCTCGGGCAGCACTGCTGAGAAAGGAGAAGATAATCCAAGCTGATGCCTGAGGCTGCCGACAAATGGCCTTGTCTTCATTCACTGTCTTCAGTGCATCTCCTCTCAATGAACTGAGCTCCTAATGAACAAACAGGGTTATTCCTATTCAAAGAGAGAACAAGAATCAAGGCAAGACTAAGGCAGAGTTTGCCAATAGGAAATTACCACCAATGATATCGCTTTTCTCTTCCAGCATTTTGAATTAAGCACTAATCCAAACAAGCTAGATGTGGGGGAAAGATTTTGTTAGATTAAGGGCTCTGAACTAATCCTTTTGAATTCCTGGCTTTTCTTCAGCCATAAGCAAAGTTATGAACAACAAAGAATTTATTAGATCTCCGCCACCCCCACACTCTTATGGCAAAAAGTGAAGAGGACCTAAAGAACCTCTTGATGAAGCTAAAAGAGGAGAGTGAAAAAGCTGGCTTAAAACTCAACATTCAGAAAACTAAGATCATGGCATCCGGTCCTATCACTTCATGGTAAATAGATGGGAAAACAATGGAAACAGTGACAGACTTTATTTTCTTGGGCTCCAAAATCACTGCAGATGGTAACTGCAGCCATGAAATTAAAAGACGTTTGCTCCTTGGGAGAAAAGCTGTGACAAACCTAGATAGCATTTTAAAATGCAGACATTACTTTGCTGACAAAGGTTCATCTAATCAAAGCTATGGTTTTTCCAGTAGTCATGTATGGATGTGAGAGTTGGACCATAAAGAAGGCTGAGTGCCAAAGAATTGATGCTTTTGAACTGTGCTGCTGGATAAGACTCTTGAGAGTCCTTTGGACTGCAAGGAGATCAAATCAGTCAATCCTAAAAGAAATTAGTCCTGAATATTCATTGGAAGGCCTGATGCTGAAGCTCAAGATCTAATACTTTGGCCACCTGATGCAAAGAACTGACTCATTGGAAAAGACCCTGATGCTGGGAAAGACTGAAAGCAGGAGGAGAAGGGGACGACAGAGAAGAGATGGTTGGATGGCATCACTGACTTGATGGACATGAGTTTGAGCAAGCTCTAGGAGTTGGTGATGGACAGGAAAGCCTGGCGTGCTGCAGCCCACAGGGCCACAGAGTTGGACACTACTGAGTGACTGAAGTGACTGAACTGAACTCAAGGAGGGGATCTTCAGATCTACAGGCAGTAGGTCAAAAGCACAGGTGATAACCCAGGCTTACAGCTGGTGTACCAAGTACAGTGGGGTGGGGAAGAGAGGGGGAAGTCTTGTGGGACTGAACCCTCAGTCTGTGGGGCTGACGCTAGTGGGGAAGAGAGGGGGAAGTCTTGTGGGACTGAACCCTCAGTCTGTGGGGCTGACGCTAGTGGGGAAGAGAGGGGGAAGTCTTGTGGGACTGAACCCTCAGTCTGTG